ACACTCCTAACAAAATTTTTAACCAATAGATTGACGACAAAATTCGACGGATAAAAGTCGAAAGAACAAGCTGGCTTTAGAAAGGGATTCAGCACAAGTGACCATTTACTAAGTGTGAAAATACTTATAGAACAAGCAAATGAATACCACATTCCTCTATATATGGCGTTCATAGATTTCGAAAAGGCTTTCGACAGTGTCGAACATTAGGCAGTGAAAAGTTTGATTAACAGCAGTATTGACCACAGATATACGGAACTAATAGCCAATATATATATAAGGAAGCCAAAACAACAATTAAAGTATATGAAGGAACAAAATCAATACAAATAAATAGAGGCGTGAGACAGGGTCGAAAATTTTCAATCAGGCTCTTGAAGATACTTTTAAAAGATTGGAATGGGAAGAAAAAGGTATAAAAATTTGTGGACAACGCTTGAACCATCTAAGGTACGCTGATGACATCGTATTGATAACCGGTAAAAAAGAAGAATTATTTGAAATGACAAAAGAACTGGACGTAGAAGCTGGAAAGATATGAATTACAGTAAGACCAAAACCATAACAAATACAGATGAAGACATCACAATGAGAATTGGGCAAGATGAAAGGCAACCAAACAGCAGAGATAAAAAGACGAGTTAGACTGGCATGGGCGGCATTTGGTAAACTACGCTACATTCTTAAAAACAAAAGATATCCACAGCATCTTAAGACCAAAGTATACAATCAATGGGTACTTCCTCTTCTTAGTTATGGTTCCCAAACGTGGACATTTACAAAAGCAAACATGGACAAAATCATAAAAACCTAAAGAGCAATGGAACGACAAATGTTGCACATAAGACTGAATGGATAAAAAGAGAAACGAGTGGATAAGAGAGAAAACAAAAGTGAGAGATGTTAGACAAGAAGTTGCAAAATTAAAATGAAGATTTGCCATACATAATATAAGAAAAAAAGAAGACCGATGGAACAAAATTCTTATAAGTTGGAGACCGTGGAATATAAACGAAGCAGAGGAAGGCTCCAAATGAGATGGGCAGATGATATCAAGACACACGTGGGCTCTATGTGGATGACTGTAGCGACAGACAGAGAAGAATGGAAAAGGATTGGGGAGGCCTATGTCCAAAGATGGACCGAAGAAGGCTAATTAGATAGATAGAATTTAAAATTTGCCCAGATACCTACTTATTTGCAAGTGAATCATAGCATTGTAAAATTCAAGGAGAAAGGATCTTACTTTAAAAGAAAAAGTTAATGTAATTGAATACCTACATAGTATGTAAGTACTATTATTTGGTATATTCGGTCAACTTATTTTAACTAGACACCAATGATCAGTTATTAGAATATTCCGGTTATAGGAATATTTTTTTTTTGGCACGAAGGCTATTCCAATAAGCGGGCTCGACTGTATCTCATTTATGATGTCTCTACCTAACCTTAACTCCAGGGAGCATTTATGAAGGAAACGTATAAAATCGTCCACTTCATGTAAAATATACTGTAAGCTATATTATTACAGAAAATATACAATTGTTTTGCTTCATAAAATTTTAAATTTCTAAGAAACCAATTTGCGATTTTATAACTTTATTTTTATAATTCTACGATAACACGCAAATAACTGATCTGTTTATCTCGTGCATCTTGACAGTTTTATCTTCAATAAAATTTGTTTTGACAATAGTATTATAATTTTCTTAAACATGAGATAAGTTTGTTTGTTATTGAAATCAAAAAAACTTGAAGACTCGTTCTTAATAACTCAGGTGATATTATCAAATGGTGACCTTTTGATACTACAAAAGAGATGGAACATGGTATAGGGACAATTACAAGAGAATCAAACAACAAAGACGTCGTGATTAAACGGAATTAGAATTCAGAGATGATTTAAAAATTAAATAAGTAAAATGGACATAATAATATTAAAAGAAAGATAACTATGGTAAAAGAACTGGCATGTTGCGTGCTGACCAAATTTTATATGTCATGGCATGTCAAGTCCAAATCCCAATACTCAGATTGTTTCGCAACCGAAACAACAGGAATTTTGTTGTTAGACAGAATAATAGAATAAGAAAAAACCATGCAATGTCCCCTGGCAATGACAAAGTAGTGATCGAAGATCAGATAACTGATATTAAACCAACAACCTTGCAGAGAGTTCAGAGATTCAAACACCTTAGATGGTGGATTACCCAAAATCTAGATCGATCCTTCAAAATTCGATGTAGAATTGAATAGGCAAGAAACTCATTTCAAAAATTCAAGCCTATATTAAGTATCCAATAACTCATTAAATTTGGAAATCCGTGAAAAGTTTACAAGATGTTACGTGTGGTCTGTACTTTTGTATGGATGTGAAACTTGGACTTTAAACGCCGATATCATGAATAAAATTGAGACGTTTGAGATGTGGTTGTATCGAAGGGTACTAAACATTACATGGACTGGCAGAACCAGAAACGAAGAAGTTCTTCGAAGAATGGGACATCAACGAACTCTATTAAATATTATTAAGAGGCGTAAACTAGAATATCTTGGACATATGATCAAAGTTTCTTCGGCTAATTCTCAACGGTAAAATCGAAGGAAAGAAATGGATAGGACGGAAGAAACTCTCTTGGTTACACATAGTGCAAGACCGAGATCAGTATAACAATATTATAAGCATGGTAGTCGCCGACGTTCCGTAGGGATATGGCACTCTAAGAAGAAATGTACTGGGTGGTGCATAACGACAGGTTATAGGCCCAGAAAACTCCATAGAAATAAAATATGGCAAGTACAGCAAAGAATACATTTAATATTAACCTACTGAATGTGACCAGTTATTCTGCATGGAAATATAGTAGTTGATGTATGAGTTAAAGTTATTTTGGAAGAAAAAGAAGTTGAACAATGGATTACTATGGAGTTCAATGACAATAATTATACAAAAGACTCACAAAAGTTAGCAGAGAAACAGAATGATAGAGTTTGTAGGTCAATAATTGTACAATATATGGATGACAATGAATTAATAATAAAATCAAAGAAATTAATATTTTATTAATTAATCAAAGAAATTATTATATTAATATCTATGAAATTAAAAGAGGTCGATGATCTGGAGCAGTTTTTCAGTAATTTCGATGATGTAACAAGACTATTGAAGGCAACTGGAGTGAAAATCAGGGAGGAAGATTTTTAGTATGTAATTTACTACTCTCTATGCCATCATCACTCGAAACAGTTATTGCAATTTTAGGAAATTTAGATCTAAATGAATTAACAATTGAATTTGAAAAGAAAAGAAGGCATCTTCATTCAATACTACAAACCATGAAAAACTAGGAGTTTTTTTAATGAAAACTGTAGTTTGCTACATATGTCATAAGTCAGGATGCAAAAGGATTGTAGAGTGAATGCAGAGACATATAATAAGAGAGCACCTATGAAAGGAGTTAATAAAGGATACAGAAGAAGTGGTCAAATGAGAGGAAGTACCAGAGGAAAGAGTTTTAGTGACCAGACAGGAGGTAATGGTCACCAATCAAGACATAGATCTTCAAACCAAGGAAATTACACTTTACATACTCTGTATATATAGATAAAAAGTGAGGGGATGAAGTCGTTCCCCCTGTCAATTTGGGCATTTTAAAGATAAAACAAAATTGCTCAGAAACGTCGATTTTTAAACTTGTTCTAATATAAAATGGTATTAATCAAAGTTATTTATTTCTATAAACCCACATTAGCTGACAGTCACACCTACATTTTTTTTAAATATCAAAGGGGTCATATAACAATTTCTTTAATGATTGTCAAAATCTTGTTCCAAAAATATATTACACTATACATTTCATTTAAATGGCCACGTTCACAGTCAGAATGCCAGGTACTGGCTGACACAAAACCTCGTTTGTGTCTTGAAGATCATACACAATTTTCGGAAAATTTAAATATAATTAAGATAATTATCTTGTGGGCCTAATATTGATTAAAAGTTTAAATGGCGAAAAATACTTCAATACGTTGGAGAATGAAATAATAGCTGTAATAACCGATATAATCACAACGATGATTTTCCCTGACGATGTATTGAACGACGTGGACACAAAGAATGACCACGGAGATCACTGGATCTTATCCCATTAGATTTTTTCATGTGGGGTTGCCTTAAGTTCGAGGTATACCAGACAAATCCACAAAACATTAATCATCTACGTCAGAGAGTGATTTATAAAAGAATATAACAACTTAACTAGAGAAATGTTAAGATTGTTGAAGAAGAAAAAAAAATAGGTTATACTATTGGCTTAACAGGTGAATGGACAACATTTTGTTCACTAAAAGTTTATGTTTAATAGTTTAAAAGCAAAAATTATTATTGTAATATTTTTTTGAAATCCAATTCTGACAATCTTTCAAACGAAATGTCACATGACTCACTTTGCAATTAAAAAAAATGTGGCTGTTCATCGAAATAGCGAAACTTTAATGCCATTAGATATTAGAATTAGTTTACAAATCTGTATGTTGATTTATTTTAAAACTAAACTAGATTATTTTAATTTTTTTACATATTTAAATTACCAAGAACTAGTTCATATTGTGAAACATGTAAACATTAAAAAAAAATCACAACTTGACACTTTGAAATTAAGAATTCAAAGAAAATAAAAAAATAGTCTTAACGATATCTTTTCAAAGTTAAAATGCATATTGTAAATATTAAGTGGCACGTGATCGCCAATTTATGAATATTACATTGAAAAAAGCAAAGTAACCGAATGTCATATGGAAGAACAAACACGTGATGAATAATATTAAAATAAAAATTACTAGAAAACAGCAAACATACCCTAAACCAATATTAATGCTTTTGCTTGTCATTGAATTTATTAGTGAACATTTCAAATATTTAAAAAACGAACAATTTTACCCATATTTAAATTATATCCTTCCACTTGCGATTTTAAACAAAGATATTCAATTTTACTTACATCTCTCATGTCCATTTTGTACTTTTCCTCCCACAGGTCGTCGCCAATAATTTCCCTCAGGTACATCACTTTGGGTTGAGGATCGTGGCAAGGATACCTGCTTAGGGAAACCCTTTTAATGTGTTCACTAACTTCATCCATATTTGCGCCAATACATATTGCTCCAGCCGCCACGAAAACAAGAACTATTATCACTTTTACATTACACATCTTGAAAATACTGTGTGAATTACTAAATTCAGAAATTATCTCTAGTTAATATTCTGCAGCTTGTGTGAGATGTCCTCGCGGTACCACTTGAAATGCTCAAGGATATTTTTGTCGCGTATTCTCGTTTTGAATGAGTTGATAATGTTTGGAAGCCGGCAATTTATAGTATGTGTGGAATAGCGGTGTTGTTGATACCTACCGCAAGCTGGTTTTCATTATGAGCATGATTAACTGCGTGGGGATTCCAAGTTTTGAACTCCTTGGGCTCGCACCTGATGAAGAAACGATGTGAATCTCGAAATGAGTCTTCAAAAATCAATACAAATGCAATCGGGTTGGGGTATGGGGATTTTTATCATTTTTAAAGGAAATGGGGCAATAATTTTCTTTTAAAAGAATAAATATACTAGTGGGAAAGACATGGGCGAAATAATTCTGCTAAAATGTAAAAGAGTTACTAGGTAAAGAAAACATAAAACTATTTCCCGTGACCATTGACGTTTTAATCAATTTATGAATTATTTAAAAACATCCATTTTTAAAACTGACTAATTTTATATTTCGGCATCTAAATGATAAGCTAATTTCTCATTATGTAGTCGCATTGTATAATATTTTGTCAGGATATTTTGAAGAAAATATATTCCTTCAAGACCAAAAACTGACAAGATATTTACCTACAGAGACTAATCGAGGCCATACCTATAAAAAATGGAAGACCAAGAAAATTAGACAACAAGAGGAAAACGTCATTTAAAGAGAGAACCAGTTCATTTGTTTATAACGTTCATTTTGGAGAACATAAAAAAATGAACCTGGAAAAAACTCCTGAAGACAAGAGACGGCAGCAGAATAACAGGAAAACCATTCCAGCCAACACTGCTACTCAAATAATGGATCACTTTTAATGTTTTCCTTTAAAAAAGTCAATATTCTATGAAAGAAGTTGAATGTCTTTGTTCAACCTTGAACATAAAAATTATGTTCAAGAAAATATATTATTTCGATACCAAAAACGAACAAGATATTTACCTACAGAGACTAATCGAGGCCATACCTATAAAAAATCGAAGACCAAGAAAATTAGAGAATAAGAGGAAAAGGTCATTTAAAGAGAGAACCAGTTCATTTGTTTATAACGTTCATTTGAGAGAACATAAAAAATGAACCTGGAAAAAACTCCTGAAGATAAGAGAGGGCAGCAGAATATCAGGAAAACCATTCCAGCCAACACTGTTGCTCAAATAATGGATCACCTTAAAAAAGTCATTAATCTACGCAAGAAGTTGAAAATTTGGGAGAACATAAAAAATGAACCTGGAAAAAACCATTGAAGACAAGAGAGGGCAGCAGAAAAACAGGAAAACCATTCCATTCAACACTGTTGCTCAAATAATGGATCACTTTTAATGTTTTCCCTTAAAAAAGTCATTATTCTACGCAAGAAGTTGAATATCTTTGTTTAACCTTGAACATAAAAATTATGTTCGATCTTTTTAAAACTAGGTACCCTGACACAAAAGTAGGATATCAATTATAAGTAAGCCATCAAATGAAGCCATCAAATACAAGTAAGTTAATTGCCAATATATTTAAATTTTTTAAATAATGATTTGTGATTTTGTTTCGTAGAGAATTATCTAGATGAAAATAAAGAAAATCGTGGTCGTGAGACTGAAATATCAGTAAATTACGTTCATACCTACCCAGCTTTTGATTCGAATAAAGAAAAATCCTACACTGTTTTAACAATGGTAAATTTTCCAGCTGTTCTCCGTTTTCCCTTAAAAAAGTCATTATTCTACGCAAGAAGTTGAATATCTTTGTTTAACCTTGAACATGAAAATTATGTACGATTTTTTTAGAACTAGGTAATCTGACACAAAAGTAGGATATCAAATACAAGTAAGCTATGAAATGAAGCCATCAAATACAAGTTAATTGCCAATATATTTAAATTTTTTAAATAATATTTTGTGATTTTTTTTTCGGAGAGAATTATCTAGATGAAAATAAAGAAAATCGTGGTCGTGAGACTGAAATATCAGTAAATTACGTTCATACCTACCCAGCTTTTGATTCGAATAAAGAAAAATCCTACACTGTTTTAACAATGGTAAATTTTCCAGCTGTTCTCCGTTTGTAGAGGTTTACTCCCCGGCTCTGGAACTCAATTCAACAATGTATGTTACCTGAAGTCATATTTAATTTAATACTGAACATCACAATCTTTTAACAAGATGTATAATCTTTAACAACTATATGTAATTTAAAGGGTTTTTACCCATGTATTTTGGTGGCTCAGGCATTTTAACCTAGCAATTTTAAAATTTAAACCTAATGATGGACTGTTAAGTCCGAAAACGTTTGTTTTTCTTGATGTAGCCCTTTTAAGGGTTTTTTAAATAAATATACCCACTTACGAAGACTTTTTTGTGATACGTGGTATACAGCCAGCTACAGGAATTGTTTTCCTTGTGGATTTTTTTTAATGGTAAATAGTTTTGTATGTACCTACTCATTTTGTAACTCTTCTACTTTTACGTACTAATGATCGATGATTTATTGAAAAAATAGGTTTTATTTTATATTACATTATAATAGTAGTGATTTATCATATTTTCAGATTTTTATCCGAATGTTCAGAACGATACTGAAACTTCAGTAAATTATGTTCATACGTTCCCAACCTTTAATTTGGATGAAGAAAAAACTTACACTGTTTTAACCATTTTACCAGATTTAAACTTCCTCGAAAATACCACTACATTATCAAAAATGTCTTAGCGATGTTTTAATTAAGTTACGTTAACATTATTTTTCTGTCTATTTGGTCCTGCAAATACCACTTGACCAAACATCGCTTCGCTGTCGGGGTATTTTCGAAGATATTTAATCTCGTGAATTGAAGAAAATTGTTAAAAAAATGTTCAATTATACTCACCAAAATATCTACATTGTTGATTATTGATCACTACATTCCATATTCTTTTTTTAATAAAAGAAAATGTACAGCAAGATTTTGAATCAGACGACAGCGTAAAAGACCCGGTCTATGATCACATTCAAGAAGACCACCATAGTGATTCTGACACCGAACAGGAGAAAAATGGATCAGATGAACCAAATTTTGAAAACAATGAAGAAACATGGCCAACCAATGCACAAAATATTGAAATAGAAAGTAGGAAAAAGAAAAAATAGACAGGTTTTACGAAATACGGGTAAAGGATATGAAACAAACAAAGTAAACACAATAAAAGGCAGTCACGGTCACTGCGAGATTGTAGAAGAAAGTGTAAAGAAAAAATATTTGATGAAAATAGATTATCTCTGTTTCAAAGTTACTAGGGAATGGGCAACTACGATAGAAGATTAAGTTACATTGCCTCATTAATTTAAATTTCTGACAAGAAGAGTACTACTATCAGAAGTGATACTGATTAACCTTAAAAAAAAAATAGGGAAAAGAGTTTTACATATTTTATAGAAATCTAATGAGAAAGAATCCAATGCTGCAAGGTATGTTTTTGTGTTATTTTTGATGAAAGTAATAAATTTATAGAAACTGTTACAAAAAAGAAAATGTCATATAACTGTGGCTGATAGCAGAGGCAGGTTTATATGAACCAAAAAAACAAAATTTCCGAATCTAGAATGGAACTCGTCTACAGGCACATATCAAAATTTCCTGCCTATGAGTCTCACTACCCACGAAAACATACTAGTAAAAACTATCTAGTAGCAGAATTAACAAAAGCTAAGATGTATCAATTGTATACCCAGGACATAACATCTGAACCGGTTTCTTATAAAGTTTACTCTCAAACAATCGAGAAATTAGGCATAAAGTTTAAAAAAAACCAAGCAGCGATACCTGTAACAATTGTGATATTTTTTACAATCATATTAATATCAGTAAGACAGCTGATGCAAGGAAAAAGTATGTGAATTTGCGAAAATATGAGAATTGTGGCAGACAAAATAAAAACTCATTTGTGGCAGCAATGTTTACGCTTTTATTAACTCAAAATAATAACTTAAAGGTAATTGATCATAAATTTTTAGTCCCTGGCCATACCCACATGGAGTGTGACGTAGATCACGCAACAATAGAAAGATTTAAAAACAAATGCCCATTTCCTATCCATGTACCTAGAGATTGGTATAACTTAGTAAGATCTGCAGGAACAAAACGTACTACTACCGCTAAACAAACACAAAAACAGAGGAAACAAACCAAACAGAAAAAAATAAGTTTACGGTAGTTGAAATGACCCCAAATCTTTTTTTTTAATTTTAAAGATTTATTCAAAGGAATGTTAATAAAGAGAAAGAAGACAGACAATAAGACTGAAATTTGCTGGAGAAATATAAAATGGCTAAGATACACCAAGGAATTTGGTATTGTTAATTTTAAAACATCACTTCAGGAATATGAGCCATTTCAAGAAATACATTTTCGAAGACAAAAAAAGGATACACCCATCGATATCAAGAATACTACTTTAGATAATTTGTATGATAAGCTAAGACTTTATACTAAGCTAAGATTATATTTCAACTATAACTTGACTTATCTCCTTATGCTTTCTTGAAATAATTAAAAATAATAAATATTCTAAAATATTTTTTTTATTTATCAAAATATTGGACAAATAGATATTAATTTAAGAAAAAAGACTTCAATATAGCTAACAAAATGTAAGTCGGATCTAGAAATATACAAACGTTCCTAATATTACGTCTATAAGGTAACAAAAAGACTATATGAACTAAAAATGTCTGTACTGAAAAACTTCCAAATGAGAGTTATCCCCTTTTGCCTTCTAGCCACAGAGTTTACAAAACTTTCACAATATTTACAAATTTTAAACTTGTCTTGAACAGTATATTCAAAGTAAATTTTTTTCGAAAGTAAATCGATGCACTCACTCATTACATAAATTGTTACTTTAGTCTCCAGTAACATTTTAAATTTATTCAAGAATTGATTTTGCAATGAAATTCTCAAAGTCCCTTATAACCTTTGCCTAACTTTTCCGATATCTACTTCACTTCCTGTTACATTAATACAAAAAGGAAGTGAGAACGCCTTGACAAATAAAGATGATGACT